GAGAGTGATTGAAAAAATGTTATTTCTCCTCTGGATTACATGCTAATGTACAGAGGGCAAAGGGAGACAGCCAAAGAACACATAGCTGCTTATTTCAACCATTTGTGGGGATGAGCTTTGGGAAATCACGGCAGTTCTGCAACTATCTGATGCCCATCTGCAAACACAATGTATTTGTACATTGGGAATAGAGGGCAAAGCTGCACTGATCTCAGCAGAGCATCTCTGCTATTGTCCTACTGGCACACATTAAGATTGATGCGAAATTAAAGACCATCATCCTCCTAACAATCGATGGAAATGACAATTCATCTGAGTTTTTTGGCAGTTATTCACCCATTGATTACCTGAACGTGTGTACCTCATTTATAGACACTTTATTAATTCAAAATTGTACGTGTCACTCTCATATTTTCAATTTTTTTTCAAAGATTTATGACAATGCTGCCACAAAGTAACTTAATTTCCCTCTCTTTTAATCAATTGGATAACAAATCTAACCTGTTTTCCCCTTGTATGTGTTCTCTTGTATAATAGGTTGTGTGTTGTCATATCTGTGCTGAGCCTATTGTTTTACTAGTAGTCTGATTTGTCTCTGTGATAAGCCCTGTGGAGATGTGATTATTCCAGTAAAAATGCATTCAGTTGGAAACCAACCCTCCAGCTGTTTACTCCCACAGTCCCCAAGCTACACTAACACTATCTGGAATCCTTGAACAGTATTTAACAGTGGAATGGAAAGCATGTTAAAAACATTGTACTTTACAATTCCTAGTATTTACTATTTAATTTTAACAATAGATTTCCAGCATTCATGGGTGGGAACGCATTTACAAGGTTAAGTCAGACAATTTTGAACCCAGACTGCTGTGTTCATCTTTTTAGAATTTTATTGAAACCCATTAAGTTCTTATTGCACACATTTGAAATTAAGATTTCAAGTCTTCACTTACTGTATTATTTAGACCAGGAGGTATATGGCTATGGTTTCAAAACTGAAATCTGTCAGAATAAAACTAGATGATCTAACAATAAAACCACCTATCTGGCTTACGCATCAATTGCAGCTGTAGCTGCTTTAGTGTTTGGCAATGAAGAGAGGCCGCAAGTCTGTGACATGTACTTTCTGGAGTAACAGTTTGCTTTTTTAAACTAAGATTTCTGGTGCTTTTTACCTTGTATTTTGAGGTTAGAAAACAAATAACTTACGCTTGTTTCTGTGCAAGGTTGTGTAATCTGTTTGGATGTTTTGATTATTGGTGTTTTGCTCCTTTGGCAGGTCCAGTTAGCCTGTGCACACCAGCACAGCTTGTGGCCCCCTCTGTAATAGTGAAGGGCACTCTTTCCATCACCTCTTCTGAACTCTGCTTTGAGGTAGATGAAGAAGATCCCAGTTTTAAGAAAATCGACCCCAAGGTAAGAGATTGTTGACCTTCACTCTCTGGTGACAAATTACATGACCATTAATTCTCTATCCAACCTCCATTACCCCATAGGTCACAAATATTCCTGTTTTTCTAAGTTTGTGACTATGTGCATTAGCAAAGTTCATTTAAGTGGAGGGGACAAATCCAGCTCAGATGTTAATTAGCTTGTTGAAATAAAGCTCCAGGGAGGCATCCTAAATAAAGACATCTTGGATCACAAGGCCTGTGTGAACACTAGAAAGTTCAACAAAACTGCTAGCTGAATCCTTTGTTTTACTTTCCTGTTTTTTTAATGTAATGCCAATATAACATAATAGTCTGCTCGCTGCCCTCTTTATTTTGCAGTGCTTCTGTTTTCCATTATTATATAGCAGATTTTACAGTGCATTGTATTTATCATAATCAAGAAAATGTTATTTCCCCTTTAAAATGTATTTATGACTAGCCTTGTTAATATAAGTAAACTTGAGTTACCTGAGTTAATTACCTGATTAGCAATTTTTTGTTTAAAATTAGATTCACTTTGCAGTAAAATTCAGTTTGAGGGCTTAACTTTCTCTCACAGTATGAAATTAGCACTATAAAGATTGCATTTGAATGATCCTCATAATATTAAAAAATAGTAACAGATGTGTGGGCTTCTTACTACACACATGCTCTTATTGTATTATAAACATGGAAAGAGTTAATGGATTTTACCATATCTATGTATTAAAACATTTATGTGGGGTGGCGTGCAGATAACTGGAACTATGAATGGGTACAGTAAATTAACTTTTCAGATCTTTGGTTGTGCCAAAATATCTTTGAAACAGTTTACAATATTATGAAGAAATTTGTAAACCTTTGAAATCTTTGCCTGTGTTGTGAGTAATTATCTTTTAAAATACACTCTTTTGTTTGGCAAAAAATGATATCAATATTAAATGCAAAACCACATAGTTAGCATTAATGTGTCAGTGTACTTGCAATGTCATCTAACATCTTCAGAGTCTTAGTTCAAAAAATGTACTGATTCCGTTTTTGTATGTGAAAAAAGAAAATCATGTGGCTCCACTGTTTTGCATTGTTCCATGTTTAGCATGTAGGATCATTTAGTACAGTTTGGAACATTCACCACTGCACCCTGTTTCACTTACAGGGACTACCCTTAGTTTAATCTGCTTTCTCTCTGGATGTGTGGTTGTTCTCACAAAGTGTGAATGGGCATTCTAGACCAATTGTACTTGTAAATCTGTAACAGGGAGACTTGGATTCCTATAAGAAAGGCAGTCTGTTGGTGTTTTGAGTTAGCCTGGGGGATTTTTTTTTGGGGGGGGGGAGAGTTAGCGGGTGGAATTCAGTTTTGTTTTTTTTAAAGACGCTCCTTGATTCCCATTGTGTAGTGGTCTAAATACTAATCCTCTAATGCTTTTGTTTTAAAGACAAACACAGATACAATTTAACTTTCCTTTGATCATTGACACTTTCCCTGCCCCCACTCCATATTACCATAGATTGATATCTGTAGCCAGAGTTTTGTAGAATATGCCCTTAAAAATCCCAATTCTGCATTTTCTTAGAATGCCTGTTTAATTAACGAGTCTTTATCTGTTTGATACATTCAACTTCCATGTATATTTGTCTGACCTACTGGGAAAGAAAACATTGTGACAAGTTTTTGAAGCAAAACCTGCAGTGGAGATAATATCAGTAGTGATAAGATCAGAGTTTATATTGTTACTCCAGGATTGTTTGTACAAGGACACAGTAGTCCTACAAGCACTGAGTTAAACCCATTTTGTCAGGTGAGCCAGGTTCAATGCTCAGAAAAGCTGTCTGCTTCTGTTGGATTTTTTTTTTTAAAGCCAATGAAACATTTTAAGACTTTACAATCCCAGAAGCTTTGCTTTTCCATAATTTGAGCTGGTGAGAGTATGCATGAGTAAATTTGCAGGTAGAAATTAAAGACGATTTTATATAAGCATTTTATAGCGTCATTATGTGTATTCCGCTGTGATCACGACGTAAACTAGACAATTGTTTTCGAAGTGGTTTCAGTTTTACTTTATAGTTACCTTTTAAGTTGTTTTAAAATTCTTTTTATTTAAAAACAAAACCAACTGAAACTTTAAAGGCTATTTCTTTCCGGATCGTCCACAGAGAAGCGGAAGTAGTTCTTTGGAACAAGATTTTGCATCGGCCTGAAAGGGCATGAAAAGGAATTTGAAATGCTCCAAACCAGCTTCAAAATATTTCGGGACGTTAAAGCAAATAATAAAAATTAATAATAAAAAAATCTCCCAGTAAAGTTTTAGAAATGTAAACCTTCCTTAGAAAACTTGGAGCAAAACACTATAGCCGAAAATTAGGGGCAAATCAGCTAGCATTCGTTTGAAAAAACAAAAACAAACAAACAAAAAACAACCCAAATATAAAGGATCGAGATGTTTGAACATAAAATTGGTTGGTTTCTTTTAAAAGAGCACGTTTTCCCCTTTCCGGTGTATGCCCTGTGCGCAGTGCTGCTGTGTTGCAGTTCTATGCTATACTTAAAAACCAGAGAAAACAAATATTTGTTAGAAAAAATTTAATAGTTGCATTTAAGCTTGTTTATTATTCAGAGAAGATTTATACTTTTTTCATTTCAAAGTAAAACTGATCGTTGAATAACCCTTATTTAATAAAGCAAATATCTATGTATTTTTACAGGACAAAATAGGAACGGATTGTGATGTTTCACCAACTAAATTAAAAACAATAAAGATATTTTAAGGATTATATTATAGAAACACTCCGCCCTAGTTCTGTCAAAACTGTGCCGAAATGCTATGTGATGGTGCATATATTCCTAAAACTTTTAGAGAGTAAGTTTCAAGTGACAGAAAGCAAAGCAACCAAAGAATGAATGGGAATTATTTTTTCATTAAGTACAGTCTATTTCTATTTTAATTGAAAATAATTGAAATAAACTTTAGAAAACGCTGATGAATTTATAGATAAAGCACCAGTTCAATATTGTGATTAGTCTGCCATTTATTTTTGTTTTAATCCTTTTTTCTCTGAAAGCCGAGAAAAATCTCTCTACTTGCCTGAATTTAAGAACAATTCACAAAAAAGTCAATGTAAAGTTAAAGTAATATTTTTATTACTGTTTTCAACAATTCAATATGGGGCACAGTCTGACCTTGGCACTGAAATACATTTAACATCAGTAAAACTTTTTTTAAAGAGAACTTTTTACATATAGTTAAATAATTTTTTCACTTGGTGACAACATTCAGGCAAACAAAAAGAATAAGAAAAGAATGACTATACATTTATTTGAAAATGTACCTTGCGTTTCGTTTGGATGATGGAAAGTCCGATCGCTTCTTTGTGTGACTTTTAAAAAATTCACATTGGAAGAAAAAAGGGGGAAGGGGAGTCTCTTCTCGTGCAACGAGGTGATCGTTTTGGCTTTGTAAATGTCTGAGAGTTTTTAAATGCTTAACTGCAGGTGGGGTTTTGGAAGTTTGTTTCGCCGCCTCTTTTGTTGCAGCTGCTTTGTTTAAATAAAAGTTTTTAAATGGGTTTATCACTGTGTTGTTAACCCTATAGTTTGTCCAGGCTTTTGGGATTAGTGAGGATCTCCCTGGCTAGCCTCCAGGTCTGTTTGGCAGCGCTTTCCAGGGCTGAGTGCGGTTTGCCCTGAAAGAGGTCTAGGTTGGGCAGGAAGTAGTGGGGGCAGCGCCGGCACTGCAGGCAGGAGATGAGCTGCAGAAGGATCCCGTTCAGCCGGTCCCCCAGGCACGCCTCATCCCAGTCGGTCTCCCGGGGGTGTTTCTCGCACTCGTACAGCAGCAGAGTCTTCATGTGGTAGTTGTTGAGCGGCTGGCCGGGCAGCTCCAGGTGCCGGTCCCGGAGGGTCTTCAGCACCGATAGGCACTTGTTCCTGCAGCCGCCCATCAGCAACCGATTCTCGGCCTCGCCGAACTGCAGCACCCAGGCGTCGCTCTCGGCGGAGCTCTGCTTGCCGGTCAGCGAGTAGCACTCCTTGGAGAGCAGGTTGAAGCCTTCCGCCTTCACCTCGGCCACCCTGTTGGGGCCGGGCCAGGGGATGTGGGGCATGGGCCACTGCGCAGCGCTGCGCGGCCAGATCCCGGTGCACTTGAAGGCGGGCGTGATTTGCACCACGTAGCGCTCCCGGATGCGGAGCTTCACCTCGCTGGTGTCCGCGATCATCTTCACCACGTCCCGGTAGCTGCACTTGTCCACGGCTTGGGCCACTAGGGTCTGGAAGCGGGAGCGGATCTTGCGGGCCGACAGGTAGCCCGAGGCGGTGATGAACTCCACCCAGAGCGACATGCTGCGCTTGCGGCCGTCGCTCAGCTTGAGCACCGCGCAGCCGGGCAGGGAGCCGTCGTCCACGAAGTTGAAGACGCCCATCTGGTTGAGGTAGAGCACCACCTCGAACTCGGTGGGCGAGATCACCTCCAGCCCCTCGTAGCGGGCATCGATCTCGCTCAGCGAGCTGATGAAGCGGGGCTCCTGCACCTCTACCTCCTTCAGCACGTCTGACACCACCTTGCACACCTCCCGGATGGTCTTGGCGATGGCCGCCTTGCGGGCCTGGCAGCGCTCCGTGTAGTATTTGTTGAGCTGGTACACCAGCTTGGCCTGGGCGGCGATCATGTTGGGGCACAGGTCCGGGCTATAGACCGGGCTCTCGCAGTACGTTGAGGGATCCAATGCTTTAGCGGTGACTGCAGCTTTGCACAGGGCACCCGCCAAGTTGCAGCTCCCCAACCCCCGCCACACGCACGCACTCGGCCCCTCTGCCCCAAACACAAGTAAAGAAAATAGTGGGTGATGGTGGTGATTTAAAAAAAAACAAGAACCATGCAACTGTCAGCCGACGGGAATGGGGCGATGCGGGTGACCGAGGGGAAATCTCTGAAGTGCAAAGTTTGATGTGCCGCCTTTTCGGTGTGCGGAGGGGGGGGGGCGTGTTGTATGCAGCCTCTGCGCGCTGCCACCCACCCTCCCACACGCAAATAGTTCAACAGTTCATTTAAAAACTTCTCTCCGGGACTCGCAGCGGGTCTCCACAGCACAGCAGAGCAGTGGCGAAGTTGAAAACCGCACGCAATAAAAGAAGAATGCGAGAAATGCCAAGAGCGGAAGAGGGAAAACTCTCAGACCATGGCACCATCAGAGATGTGCATGAGTTTGGCTGCGTCTCTCGCCGACTGTCAAGGGATGTTGTTGATTTCCTTCTTCCTGCTGGAGGCGTTGACTGAACCCGGTTCTGGCTTTCTCTGTCTTCAGGCGTAGACTGCTGCCATTGGTCTGTGATCATTCATTCCTGTTCTTTAGTTTTATATATATATCTATATCAATATATTTTTTTGCATAGACTGTTTGAGCAGGGAGGGGTGCCCAGGATTTCTCCTCCTCCCCCTCAACCCTTGAAATTGCACGTAGAGACTCTCACTTTCTGCGCCTCTCCTCCTCTGTATGTGTGTGTGTCTCTGGATTTGCGGGAGTGTTGTTTAGTTTATGAATGGTCCCAGGGCCCTGCCGAAGGGGTGGAGTTCCAGCTCCTACAATCGCCTTCTGAGCTGTCAGAGGGGCAGCCAATCACCGAGGCAGGCTATGTGCATGTTGGATGCAGGGAAACCGCTGCTACTGCATATGGGGAGGAGGGAGGGAAGAGGAGATATTAAGGAACATGCACAGAAGCGCGCGCACAAACAAACACACACCCGCCTCCCCATCAATAGAAGGATAGAGGAAAAAGAGTATGGTCTATATGAGTTACTCGGTGTTGGAGTTGGCGGGAATTAAATACTGGGGGGAGAGTGGCATTGATTCAGAAAGGTGTGCAGTCTGTGTATGCGTCCTACAACGTCGTGCAAGAAAAAGATGCAACGAACTGCCTATGAGCTGAATAACTTTTACTTGGAAGCCTGATGGGGGGGAAATCAAGTTTGCTTTTCCACCCGGTTGTTGCAAGGAGAAGTAGCAGTAATGCTGGTGTCTTTTGAGGAAGGGGCGAGGGCGACTTGTGGTACTTTGCTGCAAACATAAATCTTCCACTAACGCTGGTCTGCAGCAGTGAAAGTGAGACTGTCATTGGAACAGAATAGTACACCTTGTTTTACTACTCCTCGTCAGATTAATTTAGATAAATCTTGTGCAATAAAGCTCTGTCCCCCTTCTAAATAGCAGCATTGAACTATCTGAAATTGAAGCTTACTATATTTTTGCGAAAGTTTGTATTTTGTCCAAGTCAAATATACATAAAATTATAGTTACGAAGTTATGTATATGCAGTTTATTTTATATTAGAGTACAGAAACGCCAACTAATATCAATATAATCAATGGAGAAGTAGCTAAAATAAAAATATTTCTATTACTTTAATCTTATTTTTGAAGTACAATAATTCTGTTTAATATTATGTGTTCTTTGTGTGATATTTAGATATGTTGTCTTAACGAACTCCTACTTTATACACCCTACTTAGTACTGTGCAAATCAAGATCTCTTACACTACTGAGCTGCAGTTTACATTGAACCTATAAATAATCAGCACGCAAATCAAGTCTTTGCCTTGAACTTTAACGTTTATGTGAGAAAAGGAGATTCTGTTTATCTCCAGACGTTTCTCAAATATTTTAAAGATTACGTCAAAATTCGTTGCCTTATTCTTCCTATATTTCTGGAAGCTTAGATAGACCATACATATTGAACCTGGTCACTTAGGATTCTCAATTTAAAAATTCTTAAACGTTGAAGTTTTGTCGTTCTTTGGTTCTTTTGGTTTATCTGTTTCTTTTTTAGAATACAGAGACTGAGATTTAATAAAATGAAATATCATCCGTCTGTTTTTCGCGTGTATTTAAATTAGGAACATGTCTGTGAACGATAATAAACCTATTGTATAAAATATGTATAATGTGCCCTGCTCTGGTACTGGTTACAACCTCTTCTCCCAGGATAAATCATCTTTTTATTGCCCGAAAGCAGCAGGATCACGCTGCTTGTGGTAGTTGTAGGCACCGTCTCCATCATCACCAATTCCACGTATTTCAGGAAGTTTTTGGGTGCGGAATCTCTGTTCTTCCATGATGGTGACTGGATAAATGGGATTCGGGCACGGAGATGCTTTTTGCTACGGGGGAGCTTACCAGGTGCTTCAATCATGTGTTCCCCCCTTCTCCACCCGATCCTCCTCACACTGCACGGATTAAAGATTTTTTTGGATCTGAAACAAACCCAATAAAGGTGTCTAGCAGTGTAACTTCCAGGAAAGAAAGAAATGTTGGGCAGGTTATAGAAAACAAGTCATAGAACTCGGATGAAGAAATTTCTTTGGCGTTTTCGATGACTCCCGGTAGTAGTTGTGTGTTCACATATAAGAAAGTAATTCTCCACTCTGAAGCTTGGGTAGTTGACACCAAAGAGCCAAATCCACGATCTGGAGTCCGTAGTCCTGATGGAAAATGTAGTTTACTAATAAAAAATAATAAAGGACTTTACAAATCAGTACATTTTTTCTTTAACTCATCCTGACGTAAGGCATATCATGTTAATTACCTAGCAGTGAGTAATTGTTGGGCAGGGCGAGGGGTGAGGGGGAGGGAAGAATATGAGAGGATGTCGCTTTGTTTCTCAGGTTACCCTGTGGCTTTTTTTTATTAGTGGGGTGAATTTTAGAGGACCCCACACATAGTTCGGCCGCACCCCGTGGGCTTCTGCTCCTATTCCTAATAAATGAAAGGAGCGTTAAGAAATCCATTTAACAAACAAATGTCTTTCCTAAGCAGTTTGTCGATTTCTTAGTTATCACACCGGGTTTTCCAGTAGCCGGTTCTCATGTTCCTTTTCCGCCCCATTCCGTCGCATAGCTTTGCATCCTGATTCCATAAGCTTTGGCTGCTTGGGTAGGCGCCTCAGAATTCCAGCCCTGACCTCTTGCAGGGATTTTGTAGCCCAGAAATTAATGGTTCATGTGTCGAGTGTACGGGAGACGTGACAATGCCATCAGGTCGCCCCAGGGTTGCGGGAGTGAAAGGCACTTCTAGATTTTAAGGTTAAAAGAAGCCAGCGATTTCCCCCGTCTCCCCTTACTTTTTAAGGTGACGGATGATAAAAGGTTACTAGTGTTTTGATTTAAAAACAATTCATTACCAATTTCCCTGTCTGGGGTCGAAGCTCTAGTAAATAATAAATCAGTTAAACAAAAGCCGACTTTAATTTATTGCTCTAGCACTAATTAGAAACATCATTTGAGCAATAAACTTAAACACTTCCAGCAAATAATGCACGTGAAATCCCTTTCTCCTGTGTCTTTGCGTTTGCGGCCGCATTGCATTAAGAGCAGCTTTATCTGTGGCGGAATTTGCTCTTCCCGGGAATGAATAATTGAAGGGGGAAACAGTATCCGAGGAGGCTGTAATTGAAGAGCCCTTGTCACCTCTGCTTTTATGTATGTTAGTACAGAAGTCCATCAGCAGCTCCTTGATGATGTATAAAACGAAGTGGCAGCCCCTTGAAGAGCAGGAGATACTGTATTCTATTAAAAGGACCGAGTGTATGTGCCTGAGAGAGAAACTCTCAAGGCTAAAAGCCACTTGAAGTCTTCAGACGGATTGATCTGTATTCTCTCGTTATAATCCGTCTCATCATACTTGAGTTAATGAGGCAGGGGAGGGGGTGATCTGATGGTCCTTGACAAATTCATTAGGGAGGCTGCGGGACATTTTATTTGACTGTTAAACATCGTGTTTGTTTGGTTTAGGCAGTGCCAACATCAGCATGCTGCTGCCTGGAGCAATAGTGTTTGGCTAGCAGGAGCTTCTGTGAGGGATATTGGAAAGGGGACTTTGTTTGGGGAACGTATGCTCTTTTCTTTGCTCTCCCTCCCTGTAGACATGTAAATGGTATATACAGTTTTAACATTTCTAATAACCATGACAATGTTATAATGTGCTTAAACTTAAAAACAAACAAAACCTTTGTGTATTTAAATATATTTGTCTAAACGTATTCTGTGGGAGGATATGCATTATTTACAAATGTGAAGTTGTTTTTTATAGAGCAGAAGAAACTGCGAGATCATTCTTACAGTAGAGAAAAATAACTAGAACGCAGAACTGGTAACCCATCCAACTTTTTATTGGATTATGATTTAATGTGCTTATTTTTGTTTGACTAGTCAGTTTATTAAAATAGCATAGCTTACATATATCAAAAGGCTTTCTATTTCTAAACAATTTATTTACAAGTTTACTTAATACAAAACTAATGGAGTGTTTAATTTTAAGTGAAGACATTGACATGGGATTATGAAACTCTTTCTGACGTAAAAAAACAAAAAGAGGCAGAAACTGGTGGTCACGAGAGGGATGAGAAGTATGTGTTTTGTGTGTGGAGTGTGAAAAACACACACACACACACACCCCATTCTAGACCAACTGGCATTTCACTAGATGATGCTCTGTGGATATATTCCAGTTTTTTGATAGGTAATGGCTTTGGATTTCCTGTCCATCCTTTGGTAGAAAGAAACCAGTTTTGGGGAAAATACAATAATTGACTTGCTCGTAGAACTTAATTTTCTGATCATTTTATATTTTGCTGAAGATCTGGCTCCAAACATTCTCCGATTAAAGTGCTTTGCAGAA